TTTCGTTCGATTCTAATTATAAAACGTACGTTCCGATCGAAAGTCTGAGTAACATATCTAATTTTGTCAGCATAATGTTTCAAGTTGGTTTGTTGCTTCACGTTTTTTTGCTGTACCATTCTTTCTGTTTCCTTTTCCGACTTTTGAAAATAGTCAAACTGTCAAGATGAATTGAAACTGAATGTAAAATGTGGATGTTGACTTTTGACTTATATCTTCCCATGTGGACATCAAAACAAATGAGATAAGACAGTTGGATGGAGTTTCTGACGCGGGGAAGAAGAATTGGTTTCAACTTTCGAAAAGGTTTGCTCAAAGGGAAAAGGGACAAAGCCGAAAAATTGACGCTTTTATTTTATATTTTATTAGTATGTATGTGTTCATCTTGGTTTAATATGATTTTTTTGAAGAAATATTCTCGGACATATTCTGAAATCACATCGTAAAAATACAGTGATGTCAACGCATTTGAGCAGGAATGGCATTTCGGTTTTAGTATTCATTATGCATGCAGTAGTTAAATTTTCGATTGTGTTCGGTTCGGTGATTTGTGATATGTGTGCAAAAATGGCGATGTAAAAATGTTCCTTAATTTGTGAACGCAGTAAAGCTGCTTGATTATAGTAGCGTTGATAGAAGTCTTTGAAGTGAATTAGAACCAAATCCGGGAAGATAACAAATGTGATTGATATGCAATGAAATAACTCAGTTTTTATCTAGATCAAGTAATCCATTGAGAATGTCGTGACACAGCAAATATAGTGTTCCGTCGATGTCACAAGTGTTAAAGTTTTTATTAGTTTCGATCGGAATCGCAATAACTTTAAGCTACTGTTCGATATAACGCCAGAGTCGCCACTAATTTGATTTTCTCGAACTGTCAAAATCGGCTGTTTCAATAACGAAATTATTTTCGTTCACACTCTCTTCTTCGTTCATTGACTTTTCTGGCATGGCTCTTTTTTTTATTATGACACACAGATTACCGGTAGACGTTCCGCACACAAATGACTTTTTATGTGTTGGCAATTACTTTACTGCCAAATAAATTATTCATTTCAGATCGAAATCCGTTACAGGTATTACAATGCAGTACATTGTCGCTATCTTTTACTTCTACTAGTAGTATTCGAATCGGATAGAAACCAAACTATTTCATGGAATTTGTCCAAATTTGCTACTCGTTTGAGTTTTCGAGTATGCTATTTTTATATTCTTCACGTGCGTGATTCCCTGTTCATTATATTGACATTTATTTTATCATGAATTTCGGATCGATTTGTGTAGTAAATTCCGGCAAAGTGTACGAAAAGTGCAAATCAAATTCATAAAATGATCCAATAACCCAAAAAAAGAGATATCAAAGCTAAGCTTAACTCAACGTATTCGTATGGATAAAGAAAGCAACCGGCATATCCCTCAATCGACGTTGCAAACAACGAAAAATGCTTGCGAAGCAAGAAAAATGTTATCATCGAATATATAAAGAAAATTTCGAACTATTACAACAGGAATTGAAGCTGCCTTGTCAATATGGAGTAAACACACACGTAAAGAAAAACACGATACAACGCCCGAAAAATGAAAACAACGCATACCGATTCAAAAGTGATGAGAAAATCGAAAATATTTTCATGAATAATAATAACATTTGCTTCCGTTTCGATTTGATATTGAGTAACACATAAATTTCGCATCAAAAATGTGTATTCGAATCACATATGTTTTGGCGAGCCATGCTACATTGTTGAGTCTGTGTGATATGTGACAAACATTGACACCTTCAATCCATTTTCTGCGGCCCGATGATTTTCTCGTCGATTCTGTCGTCTCTTCAATCCATTTTGATAAAAGTTTTTTGTTTCAAAATGTCTTGGGATGTTTATTTTATACCCTTCGGTTTTTCTTTTATTTTTTCATTTGAATTTAAATGTGATATACATTCAAGATCGTAATATCGTTGTAAATCAAAATTGGATTCGAATATACATTCGAAATCAAATGTTTAACCAAAAGTAATTGCCATATAAATGTCTCATTCAATATTCATTACTAAAACATTTCCACTAAATGGTGTTTCGTAGCCAATTTTATAGGCGCTTACATCGATTTGAATATTTGCGAATGAAACATTAATAATATCGTGTTTTTGTGACACAATGTGCCCTTAAATCAAACAAAAATAAACTTTCCCAAATACATCTTCATCGGTTTCAAGATGATTATTTTGTTAGACGCTTGCTGAAACATCTATTGACGTCAGCATAAATAGCATTACTTCCTTTGGGCGTGATTCTGTCGCTTTGATTCACTTTTGCCACTTGTCTATTTGTAATTTATAACATGCAAAAGGTGTTTTGACTCCAATCTCATTCGTATTTGAACATTTTGGTGGAAATGTAAGCTCTGCCGAATATTTCGAACTGTTTTTCAATGTATACATTGTTAGCAATAGGAAATGTTGATGACTTTTAAGCTTTTTTTTATTATTGATTCAGAATTTTCGAGAACAACTGAACTGTTTGTTCCATTTTCTCCGAACCATAATAAACTTTTTCTTTTACTTGAAGAAGATTTCTATACAGAACGACATTTTTCCATGCCATTTATATTACATGCACATTTCAATTGTGCTTGCTCATATTTTGGCGCAACAAACTTTGAACTCAACTTGATTAATATTTCTTATACTTTTCGCCTAATTTATGATCTTCTGCTTTTTCCTTTACTAAATAATAATTAATCGGTCGATAATCACTCATACATAAACATTCTTAACGAAGTAAAAACCAAAATTTTGCCTATTAACAAAAATGAACACGTGAAGTTTGGCATTTGACATTGCGACAAATGATATTTCGTCACGTGTTCACATTTCACTGCGACGTGATTTCGATTTCTTTTTTCGACGATAAAAGAGACGATGGAAATGTAGAGAGAGAGAGCAAAGGAAAAACACCAAGTGACTTTCTCCACTAAGCAGCTTGTAATCGTGAAAATATTTAATAATAATTGTACGAGTTGTTGAGTGCTTGTTTGGAAGCAAGGGCTTCATTTAATAGACCAATGAACATCGCTTTATATAATTTATGAGTGAAAAAGGCCGTATACGTATATAAGAGTAGCAACCGCAAACATCATTTTCATTAATTATTGCCGTGTCCATTGTGCGACGATAGCATATCGCGTAAGTGAGGTCAATATAGAAATATTTTACGTAAAATATTTGGGCGCCGGCAATTTATCTGAAAACATTTTAGATCTTTCATAGAAAAGATGTGCGTCATGCGGCTCAACGCAAACCGAAATGAACAGCACAAATATTATTTATGATATTGATATTGGTTTCAATAACTGAAACATATTTTCGAATAAATATATAAAAGAGTATCAATGGGCGATGCGGTAAATGACACACATGGTGTTTCTGTTGGCAGAAATCGAAAAAGGTGAAATAAGCGAATATTTGATGATATCGCTACTCAACAGCTGAATCTAACTTCACTTGAATGGCATATGCTATTGAACCGCACCTTTTTTCTACCTTTTCACATACGTAAACGAAGCTTTTTCTACACACGCACAAAGAACAAATCGGTCTTTCTATTCGTCCTTGTACGACAATCTCTGCACACAGTAATATGGCCATTGCATAGAAGAATCGTCTTCGGTTCACAGATAAAAATATATGAATTATTATTACGTTTTTTTTTTCTCGGTTCGGGTTTTTGGAAACTGAATGGTTTCGACCAATGATGCAAAGAGAATGGTAGAGGCAAACTTGATCATTATTGAAGCCGGGAAGAGGACAAAAAACGAAACACATCGAATACGTTTATTTCATTACAACATCACATTAAAGGAACGAATGCTTCTTTTCATTTCACTAGCACATTCATATTGATGTTGGCGATAAATATGTGTTTCGCTCAGGCGCCTCGAGAGCGATGAACTATCTTTTCGATAAGATTTCCCGAACCGTAAAATAAAAAACCCATTCATTCACAAATGAAAGAACCCTATGAAATATTATTATTGCTTCACAGCAGCAATTCTCTAGTTTGTCATCTCTCTCTCTCTCTGCCATCTATCTCACATTCACTTGCCCATATACGGTGATGGTGTTGATGCGTGCATCGTTTTTTATCGATTCTGATATGGTAGTTTTAGTGAAATTGCGCTTAAATAAGCATGGCACACACTAGTGTGATGAAACAAAACCAAATGTAAAATTATACAAGATGTAAAGGGTATGAATATCGAACATCTACACAAAGAAATTTTGTTCATTGGCGCATTTTCGGAATTTCTGATATATCTCAATGAAAAACAATTTTCTAGTCACAAAAAAAAATCATCAAAATTGGAGATTTTTTTAGTTTCTGTTAGAATTGAAACGGCAAAGGATCATAAGTCATGACACACGAACCAAGATGTAGGTATCATGATCATAAACCACGATATAAACAGAACACGATAAAAACGATAATCCATACACAGATAGGTATAAAGAAATATTGTGTAAATAAGATAAGTCAAACCTAAACTAACAGTTTCATCTGTGTATTAAGTGGAACGAATCAAATGACCCAGTTACTGTCCAATATTCTTTTGACCAAGATTCAAAAACCCAAATTATTAATATCGACTAATCACGGAACCTTCACTATTTCGGTTTATTTATATAGCTTAATCAAAACAGATAAAAACCGAGATTTTTTCTCCAAATATTTGATTTGAATACATCTTAATTAAGTCTATCGATTTGTGTTTATCGTCAAAACAAATTCAATTCATTGTAATAAATGTTTTGCAAATACTTTTCCCACGAAATGTGCAAATTTTGTCGTTTTCAAATATTTTTGTTGAATTTTATTTATTTATTTTTTTCATTATTAATTGAATTTTTTGTGTCTCACAATTGAGTAAATAATGCTTTTATTAATAAATAATGACTCGTAAGTGTTATATAAAGCGATCAAATTCAATGTGGCGCTTATTCAGTCATTGAAGTGAATGCCTTTAAAAACAGTGGTTTTTGTTTAATTTTTATGGCTTGGCATTTGAAAATGTTAAATTTATTATTTTTTTGGCAATTTATTGCCATTGTTAACATTGTTAGTTGTGAATATTTAACGGTAAATACGTGCAGCGGACCCATTGTGGGAGTTCCACAAAAAACATTTGTCCATCAAGTACCTTATATTTCATACAAGGGAATACCATACGCTCAACCGCCTGTTGATAAATTGAGATTTCGGGTAAAGTTCCTCTTCACACAAAATCGAATGAAATAAATTATGAAAGTTGGATTTGACCGCCCCGAATAGGTGCCACGTTCAGTAAAACCATGGACTGAACCTCTTGTGACAACTAATGAATATCGGCCATCTTGTCTTGTGATTGCCCAAGCCTTTCTTTTCGGATTGAAATCGAATCAAAGTGAAGGTAATTTCAATCATTTGATATAAAATAATTAAATATTGTTCCAATCTACTGAAAAAAACATTGGACTTTATTATTTATTAATTTTTCTTCTTAGATTGTCTCTTCTTGAACGTATACACGCCAGGTGATTGTCAAAATTTTGAATTTTAATATTAAAATCAGATGCAATTTCAATTTGTGCAGCATACAATATGATATTTACATTCTGAGTATAAAACAATTATTATTTTGTAATTTGTGGATTTGTTTAATGTACCCATAGTTTTGGAGAAAAGTAAAACGAAAAGAAAGTTACCAGTGCTGTTTTATATACACGGAGGGGGTTTTAATGAAGGTTTGAAAATTCTCAAAGTTTCACGACTATTCGTCATTTTGACTTCAACTATAGGATAATTGAACGTTTTATACTGGAACTTATTTATTTATTATATATTTTAATGAAGGTGATGGAACTGATGCCTTTCAAGCACCCGACTTCGTGAGTAAACACAAATTAATCCACTTAATTAAGATGTAATCAAATGAAATATTTCCAGGTGATGGAACATAATGCGATACTTGTTGTAATCAATTATCGCTTGGGTCCCTTTGGTTATGCTAATTTCAATCTACACGGTTATACCGGAAATATGGCTCTAAAAGATCAACGAAAAGCATTAAAATGGACAAAAAAAAACATAAAATATTTCGGCGGTGATCCAGATGCTATTACAATGATCGGAGAGAGTGCTGGTATAAATCAAATCAAAACACAAAATCTCAAATTGTTTTGCACAAAAAAGACGTGCATATAACATTGGTGTGAAAATGTAATTTTAGGTGCGGTCCAGGTGCATTTACATCTGTTATCAAATTCGTGCAAGTATATTAAGCGTGCAGTGATGCTGAGCGGCAATGCATTTAATTACTGGTCATATTATAAAAACAATAACGTGGATCTGTTCAGAGAAGCATTTAAAAACGAACTGGGAGATCAAACGAGCGATGAAGAGGTATTAAATTACATGATCAATGCACCGGCCGAGTCAATTGTAGCAAAATCGCCTGCCTTGGACATAATCTCTCGAACTACTCTTTTATTTTATTGGACGCCAGTGGTTGAAGGTCTGTTCATACATCATACGGTCTATTTAAGTCAATTATTTGACAGTGTCTGTTCTTGTTCACTTAAACAGATAAACGAAAAGCTGTACATCCATTTCTTCTGCAAAAACCACATGATATCTATGCAAACAATAATTTTTGCGCAAATTGTAGGAACGTAGAAGTTGTATTCAGTGTAACAAGCTCGGCAAGTATACACTCAAATGAAGAAATAAACAAAAAGTTTAATCGATTTTTTTTCTCCAAACAATTACAATTTCGCAGGAAGGCTTTTCATTTCTCGATTATACGCAGCCGTATGCATGGATTGAAGCATTAAAAAGTAGTTCTTATATTGCATTGCCATATCATGGACTTACTTTGACACAAGATACTGCGGTACGGTTATCAACAACATTTTATTGTAATTTTATATATGTTTTCTAATCTCTGATGATTCTTCAATTATTCCATTCGCAGAAGTACCAAGCAGTGCAAAATAAAATCAAAAAGTTTTATTTTGGTGATGGCGAAATTGAACAGACCCCTGAACGACTAAATCAATACGTACAATTGACTACAGATACAAATTTCGTTATACCGTTTTACGAGGCAATGCGATTACATTCGAAAGTGGCAAAAACGTATTGCTTTTAGTAAGTCATATGGATATTTTTAACCATACGATCTGATGCATGTTCGCTTGAGTTTTAAAATTCCGTGAATTGCTTTCAACTTTTAATTTGCTTTCTTTTTAATACATTTTAGTTTTGATATAAATTTGAATACGAACATTGTTAAATTACCGAGAAATCTTACTGACATCGAGGGAATGGGACATATCGAAGATACTGGCTATTTGTTTAAAATAAATGAACCCAAGTACAGTTTCTTGTACGATCAAACATTGGCAGATCGAAGCAATGAAATAAATCGAAAAACGATTTGTGCGTGGAAGTTCGTCACCAAACTTTTCACAGACTTTGCCAGAAAAGGGTATGCTCGCAAAATAATATTTATTATTTTTACATTTTTTAAAGCATTTTTCCTTCTTATAGTTTGGTCAAATACGACAATCCAGTGAAATCAGTAAAAAATGCAAAATGCATTCATATTACGAACGATGGTTTGCGGTCAATCACACGACCACACGGACGAGCAATTAAATTCTGGAGAAAAGCCAAAAATTGTCTATATCCATTTATTGTTGACGAATTTTAAATTTACAAAGAATCAGAGGACAAAATCCAAGTTGAATTCAATGTAAAAATTAAAATACAAAAAATGTATTAGTTTTCACCCAAATAAATAACTAATTTACTAATGTACGCGTTACCATGTCAGAAATAAAACGTTGTAAGCAAAATACAAGCTTTCTTTCAAAGGACACCTTTGTCAACTATTTATTTACGTAAGTCAACGTAATTCAAGAACTTTTCCGAGAGGAACGGTTTTGATTTGAAAATTCTTTAATAAAGATTAGTTTGTCTTATTATGACTGTGACGAAACTACCATTAATAAATTAACATCCTCAAATGACAAAATTCAAACAGAATCCCAAAATCTTTTGACCAAACTCAAATTATGTGTCGAGGTGTGGTGATTGAATAAACAGACTAAACAAGTGTTATGAAACAAAACCAACTGCGAAATCATCTAGGGGAATTTATCATTCAAAAATTCACAATATTCAGAATATATTGACAACTTTTCAGGAGTAATAGATTTCCCTTGGAAATTATGCATTTAGGCTAAAAAATATATGAGATATCGGACATTTGCAAAATGCACATACAAAAAATTTGTTCAGTGACGCAAAAATTCCGAATCTAAACATAACTGGGATGTAGAAACACCTCAAATTCGCTCATAAGAAGAGAAAAAGATGATGAGTGGTAGAAAAGGTGTAACACGACACTACGTCTAACAATGACCAATACAACACAAATAGGCGTAGTTGTATTATCGGCAGACCAAGCATCACTCAATTCGACCTTGATGAATCAAGACATTTTTCCAAAATGCCAATTTATATGATTCGATGTGAAGAATATCTGTTGAAGTAGTTCAATCACATTTTGTGGTAATTCGGCTATTTTCGGCAGTCGAAATACGACTACACCTTTCATGTTGCTTCACGTTGTTTTTTTTTGTATGGTGCACGCACAATCATGCTATTTATCCAGCAAAGCCGATTAATATATCGAAAACACCTACACAAGCACATAGACATGCGAACGAAAGAGATGGAAAAGAAATCATACTTTTTTTTAACCATTTTGCTTCCACTGACTGCTGAACATCGATTGCAAAACACGCACGAATGCCGAAAAATTCTCATCATATATTTAGTAATACTGTGGCATGTTCACATTTCAGGTGTTTGCTCATTTTTATATAACTAAATCTTCATAAATATTCATCGATTTATGTTCAAAGTTGAATTTGTATTATGGCCCAAGTCGATGATGGGATTGTGGAAGAGGCGGCAAACCAAAAGGCATGTATTTTTCTTCTTTTTTTTCCAAACATCTGGCGCATTACATAAAAAGATGTATGCGGTTCTGGAATGTAAGTACAAATCAAAAGCGATATGCCATATTATCAAGATTGCTACATTGCTACAAGTGAAAATGCAAACAATTTGTCTGATAGATGGTACTTTAACTACACGACGTATGTGAATATGTTGGATTTTTCTCTGCAGTAACTGTGAAAAATCGATGCTACTTTTCCATTTCCGATTTGAATCGTGACGCATTTTGGTATTTGTTTTGGATGTGCGCATTTTCTCAATTTATGTTTCCACCTTTGAAAGCAGCCATAGAAAGGTACAACGCTATTGATTTAGAATGGCATAAAATACAGTCAAATCCCCGAAATATTCGGAAAGATTCGACAACATTTCATCTGTGCGATGTAATTTTGAACCAAAGATTCTATACTTAATTTAACGTTAAATTATAGGGAAAGGCTGATAGGCAGAAAAAGAAACAGTTTCATTTCTTTATTTGTAAACAAAATAACATCTCGAACATCTTACATATTATACCTTTCTCGAGAAGAAATAGCAAAAGCTTCAGGCACCACAATGCAGTGGCAATTTAACAGTTTTGCCAGCCGGTTTATTAACAAAGAAAATGCCATACTATTGCGGATAATGTGCCAAATTTTCGACTTCATTTGCCTTCCAGTGAATATGTGTCGATAAAGTGCAGATGCGTCAATTTTTCGATTGTCTTACCGATGACACGAAGTCACAAAATTGAATGAACTTTCAACGAAAATTCGGTGAGCTTGACATAGACAGTTTTTGTAACCGATAAACACGAAAGCATTGTACCCAATGATGGCATAGAATTTTTTGTGAAACTACGCTCATGGCATACACACAAACACATACGCTGATCTTTTTAACCTCTTTTTGTAAAATTGCATACACCGTTGCAATATGAGTTCTGCATATAAATTCACGTCAATATTACGTGCAAAATAAGCTAAACAGTGTGCCGTCAATTCATGTGTGCTCACTATCGTCAATATCGTGAAAATTCTTTGATTCGATTTGATCCAGTCGCTCATTCTTTGTATAGATGGCTTATGGTGGATCGCAGACAAACGATACTCCACCATGAATACATCTTGTTTTATTTTTGGTTAAAAATGAACTGATTATATTGCATGCACGATGATTAGATGACACAAATTATCTGTGTCATTCTCACAGAGACGAAACAAACATACGCGTGCATGCATGCACACGGGAAACAAGCTGAATATCAATCCTATCTATACACATCCATAACGCACACAAGTAGCGATCTTAATTTGAAATTCCGAGCTCGCTCACAGCGGAAGTGATGCTTTGTATGTTAAAGCAGCATGTCGACATGTTGCACACGGTTTCCTTAACTATTGTGTATTATTTTTCATAAACTATGCCATTTTGTGGTTGAATGTATTGAATGCACATGATAATGGAAGCGAAGCGTGCAACCAGCGTCATTGAATAACCTAAATCGTGATGGTGATAACAACACTGAATTTCCGTATGAACGTGTCCGCATGAACATCACCGATCTTGTATTATTTATTGACCATTGTGTTGATGTTTGCCCTACTCTCAACGCTGCACCATTTTTTATATATTCATTTTGTTGGTATATTTAGTTTATGACGCGAAAGTCCCATTCACATTCAGCAACTTACTTGAAAATTGTTTACTGCACGCAAACCAATCAATGAAAAAATTGTAAACAACAGGAAAGGTTTTCCTTTACTTGTTTCAAAAAAGTTACGGAAGAACTCTGTGTAAATGAACGACGAGCCACTGCAAACTAGTCGATAGTATTTTGGTGTTAATCTTTGGTTTCACATTGAAGTATTACAGCTTTGTTCGCAGCATAAAAATAATGATAGTGCAAAATCAACTGACGTTAGCATGAGACCATTTTGTTTGCCCATCCAAGGGCTCTCCTTTTTGTGTTGCCCATCAACACTTTATTCAGCATACACTTCTTCTTTTCTTCGCTTCTGTCTATCGCCTTCAGTGCCGGCGTTAGTGTTGCATTTCAGCGCCACTTTTTGTTTAGTTTTGCACTTTCGGTGTTTTTCTTTTGGATTTGCGTGCATTTTATGTGAAACAAAGTGGGAAATGGAAAGAAACACACTACGAGAGCGAAAAATGAGCAAGTAAGCAGTGAATCTGTGGAGAGAAAAAGAGAGCAAAAGTACAACTTCAAGCTCTTTTATGTGATAATTTCAACTTGCTGAAGAAAATGGACAAAAACTAAGATACAGAAGTTGAATGTTATTAATGTTCACCTTTTTTACTTTAAGTTTGAGTTTTTCAAAGAATATTCATTCAAAGAGCTGCACGTTTTTCGCTTCTTTTCGTTCAAAACATACAACATAAATTTTTGGTTGCAACTTTCATAGGTGTTGCTTTTGGAATAGACAGTAAAAAAAGGGTATTTGCTTACACTGGAAAGATCATTTTTACGCTACTTTGAAGGCATTTCCGTTTTTACAATAGTTGGTGTACGCGTTCATTTTTGTGCATGTTTAATCAGCTTGTGAAACTTATTTTTTTACTGATCTTATGGCGAAGTTGTTATTTTTACGGTGCAGATACCAGAGATACCATTCAATAATTGAAAATGAGAAGTATTTGAAAAACTCAACAAATATTGCAAACACATTGTAGTTTCAAACTTATTGGCAAGCTCATTATTGTGAGTTGCTCGCGTTTTGGGAATATAAAAAAACATCGGCGTAAAATTCGAAATAAATTGCGATAAAATTGAGTTGAACGTCAACGTATACAAAAAATGATTGCTATAGAATAAAAACAGCGTATGAAAAGGTTGCATTTCAAAGCGAAACACCGTCATACAAAATACAGCAAAAAATGTATGTAAAAACAACCTATGGTGTGCGACCGTATCATACGCTGTATTTATTCTAGAGAATTCAAATGTACACTGGCTTCATGAATAATCTTCATTAAAAACGTGAAATTACCAATTAATTTAAAAAGCTATTTGTTCGATTATGTGGACCGGATCGATTATTATTAAAGTGATGAGTGAATTTAATAAAAATTGAAGTTTATTGAAACAAGTCAAGTGTGTTACAAGTGAATGCTTAGTGATTATTAGAATACTGTCTTAAAGTGCATATAATCTGTGGGGACTTTTATTTAAACGAAAAGGAAGAAAGAAAACATAAATTAACTCGTTGAAGTGGCACGTTATTTTCAATCCCAGTGAATATTTTAACTACATTGTATCTTTTTTGATTGCGTCTGAAGAATTATCTTGAGACTTTTTCCCCGCATTAAAATACGATGAGTTAAGAAAAACACAAGAAATAAACCAAAAATCATCATGAAATAACACCAATTGAAATGTAAATGTGAGCGTATATGTTTATGTGTGCCTTTACAACTGTGATTGTGGTAAATTGATGGATCAGCATCGCCTTTTAAGCATGAGAGGTAAAACCAATTAATTATCTAGATTACACAATGCGGCTATCATTTGTAAGTCTGGAACAGTATTATGTTAAAAAAAATATATGATTACAACGTTCCCAGGAGATTTGCATACTGGGTTTTATCTTTCGATTCACATGAGTGAATTTTCGAGTAGCATCATCAGAAAACTATAAATTCTATTTGTCATCTGAAATAAAAATATTACCTTAAATTCGATCATCATTTTGAGAATAATATTGACAAATATATTACGTCTGAAAAATTTTCAAAATCAAGTTTTCCAAAAGGACCGATACGGAGATCAGCACCATTTTGTAAGCGATTCAGCATATGTGCGTAGCTGAGTTGATTCCTTTTTGAAATCAGATACCATGGCATTTGTTGCAAG